CCTGCCTGTGTCGCATGGGCCACAGCCTGATGGCAGACACCTGTCCTGCCTTCAGAGGCCTGAGCACCCCCACGCTGGGTCCTTGGCGGTCATGCACCTCTGAGAAGGCACCAGGGTCACCTGCAGGCCCTGCTGCCCCCTCACGATGGCGGCTGATTTCTTGCTTCGCCTGTGGGGTGCATCCGCTCCCGGGACTGAGTTCCCTTTCCCCATGTCCTGGCAGCAACCCCTGCCTCCCTTGAACGCTGGACTGGAGCCTCCTGTCTGGCTCCCTGGCGCTCCACAGAGGCCTGAGGCAGTTCCGTGAGGGCTGCAGTGAGCGGCCGCCCAGGGCCTCCCCCTCCACCCCTGCCCCGTCTGCTCTTTGAGCCCCCAAGATGTGGCCAGAGCCCAGGCCTTGGGAAGTCCTACTGAGACCACAGACCCTCCTCCTGCCTCCTCCGTCCCAGTGACCTTCGTGTGGTCCCCTCCCCCTCCGATTTCCCAGGTCCCTCACGCCACTTTGGGCAGGGCCGGGAGGAGGTAGAAATGGAGCGATCCCCAAAAGCAGCAGTCCGAGCGCAGGCAGTTTCTTCTAGGGTGAGGATGGCTCGGCCCCCAGCTTGCCTGTGGTTTCCCCCGGGCCCTGGGCTCCTCCATCACCTTCAGCGGGTTCAGCCCTGCCTCCCGAGTTCCTGCAGAGGCATCCCCCCCCATGACCCGTGGGGAGGCCGCCCCCGGGACCCCTGCTCTGCCCCTGCCCTGGCCCCTGACTGCCCACGTGGGCTGCTCATGCCTGTGGGGACCCAGCTGTGCAAGACTCCCTCCCCAGTGGGGGGAGAATGTGGCTCCCGGCCTCCTTGGTTCAGTCTCATGGCCAGGTGAGCCTGCCACGCCATCACCTCCTCTGCCTCTCACACGAGGCCCTCGGGGCCACCCTAAGCTGCCGGGGGTCACACACCCAGGCCCTTGTTCCCTGGGGCCTGAGGAGGGGCGCCCATTGCTACAGCCCTGCCCGAGGCCGCTGCCCCCCACCAGTAGAGCCTGTAGGGTAGGGCCTCCTACCTACATAGTCTCCCCTTAGTCTGGAGCTAAGTTTGTTTTTGTCACCTTTCCCTTTTTAGGCCATGATTTCTGGAGAGCTCGACATTCTCAAAGATTGGTGCTATGAAGCTGTGAGTACTTCTTTCTCTCTTTCAATGTTTTTTCTAGTTAGGCCTAAAAAGAATCACAGTTTAGAGATGTGCTTGGGCGACACCATCTGAGGAGGGTATGACGGGGCCTGGTGTCCTGTTGAGGGGGGCCCCAGGGGCCGGGGCTGGGGTGGGGTGGGGCCACAAAGACCTCTGCACATGTGTGACCTTCCCGTCCCCGGGCCAGAGGCCATCAGCACGCCCGTGTCACAGGCGTCACGAGGGTACAGTGTGAACACAGAAGCAGCACCGCAGGACGCGTGAAGCGCTGGCTGGACTCATTAGCTGTTCTCCCTTCGAGTTCCCGAAACACAGAACAAAACAGATGGTGATAGATTTTCCCGCACAGGGAGGAGCTGCATGTCCTGAGGAGGCCTGACTGCTGCCCAGAGTCGGGGCTCAGGGTCCTGGGGCTGCTTGGCGGCAGTGGCGCCGGGCTGTGGACAGCAGGGCAGCCGTCCCCAGGAGCATGCCCTGTCTGCCCAGGCCTGGCAGCCCCGGCGTCCCTGCTCCCTCCCTGACCGCTGTCTTCATGCGGCTTTTTTTTTTTTTTCAAGCTTATTTGTATTAAGCAATCCAGAGCCTTTTTTGGCTGATTCTGTTCTGCTTCCAGCTCACAAACAAGTTGGAGAAAGCAGAGGAGAAGATGTCAGATTTTTTTTTTTTAAATACTCCTCTGCATGGTGACTAATCCAGCAGGCATTTGTGAGTGGTGTGTTGGTTTTTTTGTTTTGTTTTGTTTTGTTTTGTTTTGTTTTGTTTAATACTTTGGGACCATTAGGACGTGGTTGATTATCTTTGCCAGGGAGCTGCTGCTGCCCCTGGAAATGCACTTGAAAGTGCAGGTGCTCACGCACAGGTGTTTCTTAAATGTCATTTTTAAGAATCGTACGAGAAAGGGGAGTTGGCAGCATTTTTTTTTTTCTTGGTAGATCGGTTGTTTCCATAAAAAGTAGGTGTTATTGGAATGTCTTCCATCACAGTTGCTGTGTCCAGAGAAGCTTCCAGAGGAAAGCTACAAGGCTGCACATGTCCCTGGCCTGGGAAGCAGGCTCAAGGGGGCCAGGGGTGTCGTTGGGGGCACCGCTGCCCCTCGGGAAGGACAGGGGGCTGTGGCCAGAGGCTTCCCGGAGGAGCTGGTCAGCGAGGAGGAGGCACCCCGGGCAGCTCATTCCAGAGCAGCCATGGGTTAGGGCAAATCCTAGAAAACAGGTTTGATTCCAGGCCAAGATTGAGTGCGGTGAATATGGGCAAGTCCAAGATCAGCCAGGGAGGCCTCAGCTTCTCTCTGGGAGTGGGTTCAGATCCTGCTGTGGGAACGTCCCTGCTCTACCGATGAATACCCCCCTGGAGCTGGTAGTCTTGTGCCGCGCTGCCTTTATAACGAGGGGAGGGTGTGTGATTCGGGCCAGCAGACGGGTGGCACCAGCCTCCCTGCTTGGACCTGTGCTCCTGGCATCTGCCACTCCTGGCATATAGCACACCCAGGCGCCAGGAGCCATTTCTGGAAGTTACAAGAGCCGAAAGCATGGAAGCACGCCGGCGAGCCCGGCGGCAGGGAGAGGTTCCCAGGACAGTGCGCCGGGCCCCACGGCAGGTGCTACAGCCTCTCCGGTGGCACGGTGCCTTGACGGGGCTGGTGTTCGGGGTGTGGCCACGGGCGTGTCTGGCTTCTCGTTGCAGACCTACAGCCAGCTGGCCCACCCGATCCAGCAGGCCAAGGCGCTGGGCCTGCAGTTCCACTCCCGCATCCTGGATGTCGACAATGTCGATGTGAGTGTCTCTTCCGGGGTGGGGGTGTGCTCGTCACGGGCCCCTGTCCCGGGAGGAGCTGTGGCATGGCCATGGGCTTGGGTTAAGTGACCTCCAGGGTCCCTTTCAGCGGAAAGTTCCCATAAGCATGTGGTGGGAGAATTAGACAGGTGCGAGGCACGGCGGTGCTGCTGCCCAGACCTCGGGCCCCCAAGGCAGTGCTGTCTCTGCGCCTTTACTGGGAAGGGTGGGAGCTTTGTCGGGACTGCTCAGGCCCCGACGGTGCCTGTGGGCAGCTGAAGGCACACTGAGGCCCAGGTCTGGTTCCAGGAGGCTGCCGGGGTCTGGGGCGGCTGCATGGATCCTTAGCAGTTGAGACTCTGGTTCACACTGGGAAGCATTTTGTGGGACTCCCCCACCCAGAAACTGGTGACTTCTCCCACTCCTTCTGGGGCCTGGTCCCACCGCAGGGACCAGTGGAGTGGGAAAGGGGGATCTGCAGCACAAGGGGAGCAGCAGGGAAGGGGTGTGGCCACTCTAAGCACCCCCCACTCCCCCTGCAGCTGGCCATGGGCAAGATGATGGAGCAGGGGCCTGTGCTGATCATCACCTTCCAGGCCCAGCTGGTGATGGTGATGAAGAACCCCAAAGGCGAGGTGGTCGAGGGTGACCCGGTGAGTGAGGGAGGAGGGACGCAGGCCCCGGGGGTGGCCGCCTTCAGCCACCTCGCACCATGGCAGTGTAGAGCCCGGAGGCTCCCTGACTGCAGAAGAAAACGGGGCGGCGCGAGAAGTCTAGGGCCCTGGCTGGGCCCTGGCTGGGCCTGGTGGAGAGCGGAGGGTAACCGGCCTCTCTGGTTGGGCCAAGTCCTGAGTCGTAGCCTCGGGACCCCAGCCCCATGCCGTCTCCGCAGCCTCCCCTCTGCTCTGCAGAGCCTGCCCCTCCCCGCGGCCCGCCCTAGCCCTCACCTTCCCCACCTCCGCAGGACAAGGTGCTGCGCATGCTGTACGTGTGGGCGCTCTGCCGAGACCAGGACGAGCTCAACCCCTACGCCGCCTGGCGGCTTCTGGACATCTCAGCCTCCAGCACAGAGCAGGTCCTCTGAGCGCAGTGGCCACGACGCCACGACCGGGGGCTCCTGGGCTGGCTCAGCACGCACTGGACACGCCGAGGACTGGTGTCCGGCTGCAGCAGCTCGACCTGAGGACAGGACTGTTGGTTCTCTACCGGGCGGCTACGGAGCCAGCTGCACGGGGAAGGGCAGGGGCTGCGGGGGCTGCTCCCACAGTCAGCCCCGCGCTGCCACTGTGCCCCGCTGTGCCCCGTGGGGGCTGCTGGGCGGGCTCACTGCGGTGCACAGGCCGGACGGTGCCGGGGACCCTCTGGAGGCAGGATGGCAGGCCCGGGCCCCCGCCGCTCAGAGCAGCCCACTGGCCACGTCAGCCAGGCCATTTGGGCTATTTTACCAGTGCCCTCACTACCCTGTGTACATGCCTGAGATCTGGAAAGAATAAAGTGCAGGAGAGCAACCTGGGTGGTCCGAGGTGTCTGTCACTGGGGTGGGGGATGGGGCTGGCTGGCCCGGAGCTCACGAGGCGGTGGCCAAGGTCACTGAAGGAGCCGCAGCCCTAGAGGGGGCGGCCTTGCCTGGTCAGGACCCTGCCCCCTGGGGCGGGGGCGCCGTGAGCAGAGGGAGGGAGCCTGGTGGGGTCCCTAGAGCTGGGGGAGCTTGGACGCCAATAGGAGCGCCTCTTGGAGGCGCTGGGATCCGCCCGCACTGGACGTGTGGTCGAGGGGCGCTCGCAGGGTGGGGGGGCGGGGGCCGGGCCGCGCCGCCGGGGGCGCCTGCGGGGGCGGAGTGGGCGCGGTCCCGGGTGCCCAGGCTCCTCGCGGCCTCGCGGCGGCCGGGGTCTCCCAGGCGACCCGCGGCGGCAGCTCGGTCCTCCCGAGGCCGGGGCGGGGTCGCGGGCCCGCGCACCGCTCCCTGCGCAGCCTCCGCCCCCCGCGGCGGCCCCGCCCCCGTCGCCATGGGAACAGCCGCGGCGGCCCGGCTAGCGCGCGGCTCGCCTGCCTCGGTCTCCGGCGCTCCAGGGGCGGGTGGGGTGGGCTGAGCCCGGGCTGCCGCCGCCGCCGCCGCCGCCGCCGCCGCCGGGGAGACGCCGAGAGCGGAGCCGGCGCGGGTCCCGGAGGAGAGCGCAGCCACCGGGCGCTCGGTCCCCGTCCCGGTCGAGGCCAGGGTGAGGGGCGCGGCGGGGCGGGGGCGGTGGGGGAGGGGTCCCCGGGGCGCCGAGACAAAGGGAGCGGGGATGGGGGACCGGGCTTCGCCCCGCTGCGCCGCCCGGGCTCCGCGTTCGCACCTGTTGTGCGCGGGCCGGCCGGGCCGGGCTCCCTCTCCCCACTCTCCGCGCCCCCATCTGCGCGCACGGCCGGAGTTGGGTCCCCGCGTGCCTGCGGCGGCGTGCCCGCCGGCCGGGCTTGGGCGTAGCCGGGGGACGGAGGCGCGGGCGGGGGCTGGATCCGGGAAGGTCAGGGGGCGGGGGCGGGAGCGGGGCGCAGGGGCGGGAAGGCGCGGCCTCATCCCCGCGCCCCGGGCGGGCCCTTCCTCCGCAGGGCGCGCGGCGATGTGAGCCATGAGCGCGGCGTGGACGCTGTCCCCGGAGCCGCTGCCGCCGTCGACGGGGCCGCCGGTGGGCGCGGGCCTGGACGCGGAGCAGCGCACGGTGTTCGCCTTCGTGCTGTGCCTGCTCGTGGTGCTGGTGCTGCTGATGGTGCGCTGCGTGCGCATCCTGCTCGACCCCTACAGCCGCATGCCCGCCTCGTCCTGGACCGACCACAAGGAGGCGCTCGAGCGCGGGCAGTTCGACTACGCGCTGGTCTGAGCCTGCCGGGGCCTCCCTCCCAGGGCCCACCCGACGGGGGCGCCGCCTGGCAGGGACGGCGCTCGGCACCCCGCCCCGCAGCCTAGCCCGAGGGGGAGGGCGGCAGAGGTCCGGCTCCTCCCCCTCCGACCCCTCCCATCTTTCCTCCCGGCCTGGCCGGAGCCCCCACTTCGTGCCTTCATCCCGCCCCGTCCTCGCTCCGTAACTGGGAAGAGGACCCCCACCCCGCAGCCCCCGGCATACGTAGAGGTGGCTTTGCTCTTGTCCTGCCGCCGCCGAGCATGAGTGTCATGTCCGTCCCCGGATGCGGGGGACCCCCGTGGCCCCCCTCCCCCCCCGTGGTCTGGCCACCCTCACGCCTCCGCCCCCGCCCCCCCCTTAAGTGTTGAGCTGCTCCGGCGGGCGGGCAGGCTCTCCTGCGCCCGCGGGGTGGACGCCGCCTACCAACATGCCCTGCACGGCCTGCCCGGGAGACTGGGGAGACTGGGGAGATGGGACAGCACCAGCGGCCGTCGTGTCCAGGACGCGCGGCGCCCTCGCTGGGAGGAGAGTGCGGGCAGGTTCTGTGCCGCCCCAGCCCAGGTCGGCGCCCCTCCCCCAGTCCCCGCCTCTGCTCCCCCCTGGTCCTCCCGCCGCGTCCCCCTGATGCCTTCTCCTGTCGCCGCCGCCGAGGCCTTCCCCGTGCCTCCTCCTGCCTCCCTGCCTCTGAGCCGACGGTGTCAATAAAAGCTATTATTGAGCGCTTACTACATGCCAAGCGCGCGAGTTAGCGCCTCTTCAAGACCAGGCCGAGCCCTGTCGGCGTGGCTCTTGTGCCCGCCAGGGGACTAAGGTCCAGGGGCTGTGCCCAGGCAGCCTGGGTGACTAGCCCGGACTGCACGGAGCGGCACGATTCCAGCCTGGCTGGGATTTGAACCCAGCTCTGCGTTCTCACGTGCTCTCCACGGCTGTCCGCGCGGCCCAACGGCCAGGCCGCCTTCTGGCGGCTCGCGTAAGCTGGCGGCCTTCAGCGACACCCTCCTCCTCCCCCTGCGGGCCTGGGTGTCGCCAGGAGGTGGCATGGTGCCCTGGCGCCGGCCCGACGCGCGCCCCCGAACCTTCCCGAGCCCGCTTCCTCCTGCCCACCAGCAGCACGCGCTCGGGAAGCCGCGGGGCTGGCAGCACGGAGTGGGCTGGCTGCGCTCCACGCCGCGGGAGATGCGTGCGCCCCCGGGGAGCCGTGTGCAGCGGGCGGGGAGAAGCCAGCGCTTCTATAAAAGGAAGGCTGTTGAGTGCACGGGCTCTGCGAACAAGATTTACCAGCTCCCAGAGGACTAGTGAGGCTGGGCAGGGTGGGAGGGCGGCGCCGCGGTGCCCTGCGGAGCCTCCTGCCGAGCCCTGGCTGGCCCTGAATCTACAGGCTCAGGCCCGCGGAGGAAGGGGGGGGCCCTTGCAGGGAGACCCAGCAGCACTCCTGGGCATTTGGGGCCCTTGGCAGCAGCCTCAACCCTTCCCCTACCAACTCGGCTCCCCCCTCCCTGCTCCTGAGGCTGCTCCAGTCCAGCTCTTCCCCCCACGCCGTCCCCCAGCCCTGCGTCACTAAGGCCACCTGGGGGCACTTGCTTCTTCCAGCCTCCCGCCACAGGAGGCAGCCCACCCCAACCCTTGACTCCTACCAGCGACCTGGCTCCCCTCCCTCTGGTGGCCTCTCTATGTGTGCCATGTGAAGTCACCTGCTCCGAAACCCCTGCACCCACACCGGTTGGGCTCAGGCCTCCGGTCCTCCACACAAATCACCCAGGGTCCCCCTCCCGGCTGGACTGAGGTCATTCCAGGTGACATTGAAGCAGACCTGGTGGCAGCAGCCTTCCACCCTATGTGCCCCAACATCCCGATTCAGCCCCCGGCACCCTGAACTCTGGCACTCTTGACTTCTTCTCCTCCTGGCACTTTGCACCTCTACTCCCATCTGTCACTCAGGAAGAAGGGAGCAAGATGGGTTGACAAGAACTTTACTCACAGTTACAGGACAGAGAATACAGGATGTGGGAAGGGACAGTATTTAACCGTGACTTTAACCAAGCTGCCCGGCTGCCCCCACCTCAGCTCTGCGGCCAAGCCCCTGTACACCTGTCTGCTGTGTCGGAGACTCCTGCTGTGTTGGTCATCTTAAAGGCCACCCCCTGCTGCCCACCATGTCAGGGACCTTCCACCATGACTGGATCCTCATGACAACCCAGTGCCAGCCCAGGCAGGCCTGAGGGCCAGGGGGCTCACAGATGTTTGCTGTGTCGTCCGCCTGCCGGGCCTTCACCTTGCAGGGGTGGCTGCCTGGCCCAGAAATTCCAGGGGCACCAAGAATGGGTTCAGGGGACAGACCCCTGCTGCTTGCCAAGGAGACCTTGGTTCAGCAGGCCCAGTGCTCTCAGAGGCCTGGGGCGGGGCCTGGCCTGACGCCTCCGGCCGGCTGGAGCTTGTCCCAGCATCCTCAGCTGCCGGCCCCAGGCCCTCACTGGCTGGGTCAGGCTGGGGAGCTGTCAGGTGGACGTACATGTCCGACATGTGTTGAACCAGGGCATCGCAGGGCAGGCGCTGCAGCTCCTCGGGAAGTGCCATGAGCAGGTCCAGGACCACAGCAGCCTCTGGAGATGCACACAGAGGGGTAGAGGTGAGGGAAGGGCGGGGCTTGTAACAGGGGACTCCCATCATCCCTGCCCGTGATCCTCACCAGCGGCAGAGAGTTCAGGGCCATGACACCTGCGGGAGACGGATGACAGGTACTTGTAGATCTTCTCAAAGTCCACGGAGAAGTCTCCCTCAGCCGAGGAAGGGTCAGCCAGGAATTCAGAAGATGCCTCGGGGGCCGGGCCATCCGGCTTAGGGGCGGGGCCGGGAGTTTCAGGGCTTGCTTCCTTCTGCCCTCCAGGGGCATCGAGCAACAGTAGCTTTCCACGAGCCTGCGTGGGCTTGGGAGGCTTGGAGTGCAGGAGGCTCACGGGCTCTGTGGCTGCGATGGTGAGTACCTGGCAGAAGGAGACATCACAGAGGGAAGGGCGGAAGTCCTCCCATCGACCACTCCCCTGCCCTGTGCAAGGCTGAGCCCTCCAGCCCCACCTGGTCACGAAACCCTCCCTGCGAGGGGGAACATACAGGAGCTGCCTCGGAAGTGTGGGTCACTGAGGCTTAGGGTGTCTAGGGACTGGCCAGAGTCACAGAGCTGGCAAGAGGAAGGGCCCAGGAGCCAAGTTCCCCTTATTCAGACCTGTAGGGAACACCCCATCCTGCCTGTTAGATGGCTTTACCTGTGAGAAGGCCGCAGTCAGGGCTTCCTCCAGCGGGCCTGTTATCTTCTCAGCCAGATCCATCCATACCTGGGTGGGGCAACCAGAAGGCACACGGTCAGCCAGGGAACCACGCTCAGGGGTCTCCAAGGCCTGCTCCTCCTGGGGATCCCCTGACCAGGTCATCCCCACCCCCAACACCCACGCATGCCCCGGGGCTGGCCTTGTGGGCCCTTGTCCTGCCTCACCTCGATGGGGGCCGGCGTCTGTGTTTCTCGGCGCCTTGGACCGGGATGCAGCCTCTGGAGGGCCTCCCGGACCGCACGGCCCTTAAGCTGCCGCAGGAAGTCCCGGACCTGGGGAAGACAGGAGGAGGCCAAATGGGCCTTCTACACGCCCAGGGTTTGGGAGGGGACCCACCGCCAGCTCCCTAGCCTCCTGCTACCCAGGGGTACAGGTCTCGGTGTCTCTGCCCCGCGGCTCAGGGCCAGGCCACACGTGTGACCAGCCACCTGATAAAGATGTGAGGCCCACGGCGGTTCTGGTTCCTCCGCGCAGCCAGGGCCCAGCCCTCCTAAGCACTACCCTGTTCACCTCCCCACTTCACCCTCTCGGCCCCGTTTCCTGGCTCTCAATTCAGCCTCACTCCCGCGGGCTCTTGCAGCCCTTCCCGCCCTGTCCTGGGCCTCTGCTCCATCTAATTCGGAGCCCGACTGCTCAGCCCCTCCTCCGCGTGGCCTCCACCTCGCCACGCCCCTCGGCCTCCCGCCCCGCCTACACCCAGCCTCCCTCCCAGTTAGCCCCGCCCACGCCCTTCCCCGCCCCTCAGCCGCAGGCACGCCCCGCCCACCTCCAGCCTCTCCCAAGCTCGCCCCGCCCCCAGCCTCGCGTTCGCCCCGCCCCCCAGCCGCAAGCACGCCCCGCCCACCCCAGCCTTTCTCCCAAGTTCGCCCCGCCCCCAGCCTCGCGGTCGCCCCGCCCACACCCCGCCCCTAGCTCGGCCGCCCCGCCCCTCAGCCGCAGCCACGCCCCGCCCCCAGCCTCGCGTTCTCCCCGCCCACACCCCGCCCCTAGCTCGGCCGCCCCGCCCCTCAGCAGCAGGCACGCCCCGCCCACCCTCAGCCTCGCGGTCGCCCCGCCCACACCCCGCCCCTAGCTCGGCCGCCCCGCCCCTCAGCCGCAGGCACGCCCCGCCCCCAGCCTCGCGTTCGCCCCGCCCACACCCCCGCCCCTAGCTCGGCCGCCCCGCCCCTCAGCCGCAGGCACGCCCCGCCCGCCCCGTCTCCCACCCAGTTCGCCCCGCCCCTCAGCCGCAGGCACGCCCCGCCCCCAGCCTCGCGTTCGCCCCGCCCACCCCGCCCCTCAGCCGCAGGCACGCCTCGCCCACCCCCCCCGCCTTCCTCCCAGTTCGCCCCGCCCCCACCCTCGCGTTCGCCCCGCCCACGCCCCGCCCCTAGCTCGGCCGCCCCGCGCCGCCCCTCAGCCGCAGGCACGCCCCGCCCCCTCCTAGCCCCGCTTCCAGCCGCGTTCCCTTCCCAGGACCCCTCACCTCGGTCTCGCTGCGGCCCGGAAGCTCTCGGGCCAGCTCAGCGGCGTCCGGCTCCGGCTGGCCCTGCCGCGCCTGCAGTAGTCGTAGCAGCTGCCGCTTCTCGCGGGCGCTCCAGGCCGCGGGGCCCGTCACCTCGCCCAGGTAGCGCGCCGGGGCCGTTCGCCGCCGCTGCGGAGGCTTCATGCCGGCGAGGGCGGTGTCGGCGTCCCGGGCCCGTTTCCCTGGTGGGCGGGGTTACGGAGGCCGCTGGGGTCAGAAAGCGCCGCGCGGAGGCGGAAACAGATGGGGCGTGGCTCCGCGTTTACGGCCGCCGGGAGCGGTGTAGCCGACGCCGACGGAGAGGCTGGCCTGCGAACTGCGGTGGCGGCGAATGAGACACCCCCGCCTGCATATTATCTCCCTCTCGTTCGTGACCTGGAGCCGAGACCTTAGACCCCCTGCCCTCCCTCCGTTCCGGGCCTGAGTCTTGCGAAACTCCTACTGTGTGCGTTGCTTCTCCAAAAGGGGTGGATCCTGGCCGGAGCCTGGGCTGTTGGGGTTGAGCCGCCCGTAGGACCTAGGGCATGTGATCTGGCCGAGCCGAGCCTCAGTTTCCCCATTTGTAAAATGGAGCTAGTGGTCCCGCTCGAGGGAAGGTAGGAACTCGGACAGGAGACGTTTGGAGAGCTCTAGCCTAGACAGAACTGGGCAAGGCCCTCGCGAGGGTAGGATCCAGGCGGCAGGGGTGGAGAGCCAAGCCTGGCTCCGGGAAGACCGCAGGAGGCAGGTGGGCAGGGGCGGGGGGCGGGGGGGGGATGAAGCGGAGCTTGTTCAGACGCAAGCAGGTGGGGTTGGGTGCCCCTGTCTGTTTGGGAACAGCTCCCTTAGGTCTCCCCTGGCCCCCATCTGCTTCCTGCCCCCTACACCCGCGCCAAGCGCACACGCAGACCTCAGAACTCAGCGGGTCAGACCAGATGTTTATTTGGAGCCCGGGTTGGGAGGGTGCGAGGAGGGGCGGGGCGGGAGGGCTCAGGGAGCAGGTCCGAGGTCGACCGCGGCCGGTCCGGTCCTGGTGGGCCTGGTTCGAGGCCGTGGCTGGCGTCTCCGTCCCCGGGGAGGGGCTCCCCGGGCTGAGCGGAGGAGAGGACCCCACGCAGGCCGCCCCCGTCGCGGCCCATCCCTGGCCGCCAGCAGTCTGTGCGGGAGTGAGGGTGGGCGCTAGGGCTGAGCGGCGAATTCCCCTCGGCCCGTGTCTGTCCGACGCCTGCGGACCCCTCTGCGGCACAGAGCCCGAGGTTGGCCGCGGGGGACCCGGTGCCCGAGTTTGAATTCCAGCTCCACCGAATGTTGGGACTGTTTTTGTTTTTTTACTGTTGTGACTTTTGCCAAGTTACTTCAGAGGGTGCCTCGTGTTTCTCATTTCTAATGTGGGGATTATAATAATATCTACCTGAAAGCTGTTACGAGGATCAAATTAATGAATAGGCATGAAACGCCCTGGCACAGGGAAAGCCGATGAAGTCATTGTCATCAGGTCCCTCTTCCAGCTGTCCTACCCCCCCCCCCGCGCGCCACCATTTACCTGCTCACTGCGGCCTCCTGGGCTGGGGGCCGCTGGGCGAGTCCCTCGGGGCAGGGCCGGGGGCTGGGGGCGCTGGAAAGGAGAGGCGGGCGGGCTGCGGAGCCGTAGGGTGCCGCGCTCGGGCCGGGCCAAGGGCGCCCCCTGGGGGCCGCCGCGGGCGTGGCGCCGGCAGCTCTACGCGTGGCCAGGCCCCGCCGGTTGGGCGCGCGGGAACGGGCCGGGGGCCGCGCGGAAGACCCGGCGAGCCCGAGGTTGGTACCTGAACGCGCACAGACGAGGCCGAGCCCGGCGGCCAGCGCAGCGCCCAGCACGAAGGCGGCCAACACCAGCGCCACCACGGGCGCGGGCTCCAGGGCCGCCGGGGCCTGGGCAGGAGGCTCGGGGCGCACGGCTCGGCCGGGGACGCCCTTGGGTGGCCCTGTGGGAAGTCCGACGCGGAGGCTGGGCCCGGCCCCGGGGCCCCCAGGCGCCCTGCCCCCCCCCGCCCGCGCCCCCTGCGGGGGAGGACTGCGCGCTCACGGGGGGGCGGCCGCGGCACGGTGACCACGATGGGCTGCGTCAGCGTGTGCAGGTGGGGGCCGGCGGCTCCCAGGCTCTCGCCGCTGCCGCCGCCGCCGCCCGAGCACGCCTCGTCCTGAGGCTGACACTGCGGGGAGAGGGGGGAGGAGGCAAGGGCCGGGGCTGTCAGGCCCCAGGGTTCGGGGACCTGTTCTGGGGCTCCCGAGGGCTCCAAGTGTCCAGCTCTGCTGCAACCGGGAGTCGCACCGGCGAGCGCCTGGAGAGCCCCCCCCCCCGTGGCCCTGAGCCCCGCCCCCCGGCCTGTGCCCCAGCCCCCCTCCCCGCCTGTGAGGACTCAGCCCAAGGCCGCGCGCCGGTTGTCTGAGAACCGTAGGCCGAGATCTGGCCCCTCAGGCGCCCTGCCCCAGCCCCCCAGCCCTGGAGGGACCGCAGCTCCGCCCAAGGCGTCCCAGAAGGTGCCCCGGGGAACCCTGGGCAGAGCCCCGCGCCCCCACCCCGTCCCTGAGCCCAGCCACCAGCCCAGCCAGGGACTCTCCCCAGCTCCGAGGGGCCCCTCGGCCCCCAGGCTGCAAGGGGCGGCTCCTGCAGAGGCCGGAGGTGCCCAGCCGGGACTGGCCCGCGCACCAGCGAAGGCGGCGGTAGCGTAGGAGGCGCGGGCGTCCGGCGGGCTCCCCGGAGGCGGCGGCAGCGGCTCAGCTGGCAGTGCAGGAACTGCACCGAGGCGTTGAAGACCGGGCGCAGGCGGAAGCTGAAGCGCACGGGGCGGGCGGCGCCCGGGCGCGGCGGCGACGGCGGCGGCGACGGCGGCGGGAGGACGACCGAGGAGTCGGCGGGGCAGCCCCCGCGCAGCAGCGCCAGGGCGGGCCCCGGGGCCGGGCGGGAGGACGGCGTCACGGAGCAGCGGTGCAGGACCAGGCCCCAGCGCGGGGAGGGACGGGCCAGGGCCGCCTGGGGGGCGGGGCCGTGGTCAGCGACGGCGCCCCCACCGGCCGGCCCCCCGGGGCGCCCCGCGGCCACACCTGCACGAACACGCGGCTGTCGGCCGGGACCTCGAGCGGCCCCGCGCGGCGCGGGAAGGCGTCCTCCGCGTCCGACAGCTCCAGGCTGAAGAGGGGTCGGCGCAGCCAGGGCCGGGGCGCCGCCGGGAACGGAGGCGCTGGCGGGGGGACAGGGTGACACCGAGGAGGCCCCGTGCCCCTGGCCCCTCCGGGCCCGAACCAGCCTCCCCGCCAACTTTGGAAAAGGGGTGCCCGGCTCCGCGCCCGGTTCACTGCGCGCCCAGCAGCCCAGGCTGGGAGCACGACCGCGCTGCCTCCGGGGAGGACTCCCCCTTCCCAGACCTAGATTTCCCCACCCACAGCAGACCCGGGCTTCCCTGGCGGGGAAGAGATGAGGGGTGCCTGATGGGGGGGCGGCGGTCAGGCTGGGCGAGGGCTGCTCTGTGGGGGCAGTAGGGCCAGCTTGGGGGGCTGCTGCCCCCCTTCTTTTCCAAGGGTACTGTAACTAATAGGGAAGGGGACAAGGCAGGTGCTGCCCCTTTGCCCCTCTGGAACAGTGGCAGCCCAGCCAGCCACCAGGGTCTTGGTTTCTCCGCTTGTCCAGGCTCCTCACTCCCAGACTGAGGGCAGGACACGGACACACACGCACACACGCACACACTCAGCTGGGATCCTTGTCAAACAGTGTTCTCCAACATGTAGGATGGTCCCCACACACGTTTCCTAAAAGCATTCGTGCACTGCTCTCCCACGTCCCTGGCCTCAGGGTAACTGCTGGTGACTCCCAAGAAGTCGAGGTTCCCCCCAGGAGCTGGAAACGGGCTGGAGGCAGAGCCCACCTCCCACCCACCCGTCCCCGCAGGCAGGGTAGATGAGCAGTGCAGCCAAGAAGGCCGACACGGGCCGGCAGTGTGATGGGCCGCGTCCCCGGCCCGTACGTACCAGGCGGCCCGCTGGGCGCGGAGGCGATCCTGGGGAGCAGGGCCAGCAGCAGGAGCGTGGCACCCAGCATGCTGAACTGGCAGTGGAGTGCACCCCGGCAGCAGCGGCGCCAGCCAGGCAGCACCCAGGCCTGGCAGGTGGGCAGGCGGCCCTGTCCTTGGCTGAGTGGCCACCCCAGGAGGCAGGGAGCGGGGGCGGTGGACTGGGGTGTTTAACAGCCGGTGCCCAAGGCCTGCCAGGGATTAAGGGCTCCTCTCTGGCCAACCTGTGGCGATCGGGGTGGTGGGGAGGGCGGGCACCTCACTACAAATACCACCCACCCCACTAGTCCCCGGGCCCACTTTGGTTTCCACTCCACTTGGTGGCCTCATCCACAAGAACAGCCGGGCTCCCCCCACCCACCCCACCCCACCCCAGGTCAGGGCTCACAGCTCCTTCCCACCTCCTGTTGCCAGGTCCTGCCAAGCTCAAGACAAACCACAGACTCGATGGAAGAAAAGGGAGGGGTTTTATTCTCAAGCGTCTAAGGATTTACAAACGAGGGCATTTCGTTTTAAAAAGGGCTGGGGGGGGGGGGGAATACTGGCGACCAGAGAAGGGGTTGTGGGCCGGTGGCCTGTGCCAGGCCACCCCAGGCCCCTGCCTGCCCGCTCCACCCTCTGCCTGGTCGAGAAGGATGGCTGGTGACTGGCGACGGAGGGAGAAGACAGGAAAGAGGCAGAGGGGAAGAAGAGGTTCCCCCCCAGGACCCCCACTTCGTGCTGAAGTGGGGGACAGGGGCGGGCAGACACACTCACAAAACAGAAATAGTTAAATAAAAATAAATCCAGGTGGCTGGCCCCAGGGCCTCCGCTGGCCCTGCACCCAGCCACAGAACCTTCCAGCTACCTACTAAGGTCCCCCCGTGGCTGGGCCAGGCGAGGGAGGGTGGGGGGCCAGGCCTGGTGGCCCCCCGCCCTGCCCCCATCCCCTCACAAAGGGGACTGGGGCAAGAGAAGGCGGCCGCCGCTCCCCTCCCAGGCGGGGGAGGGGGGCATGGGGGGGGGACAGAGAGCAGAGAACTCGAGTACTTTTGAACATGCGGCATTTTGAGTATGGAGCAGGAACGAGAGTCAACAGGACAGACAGGATACAGTGATGCCTAGGCCTGGACGGCGTCTGCTACGTCCGGCCAAGTTCCTCACCTTTGGTGTTGGTTTTGTGGTTCTGTGGGTTTCTGGTTTTTGTTTTGTTTTGTTGTCCACTTGATTTGCATGCATCACCAACAAAAAGGAAACACACCCCCTCCCATTGGGGGCTGCTGCAGAGGGCTCCTGCGGACTGGCCAGCTCTGGGGGAGTCGATGGCGCTCAGGGGCACTCCAAGGGCATGACTGTCTGCACACGCCCAGCCCTCAGCCAGCCCCACCTCCATCCTGTCACACGTCCTGGAACTCCCCATACCCGCCCCTTGCACCCTCCATCCCTGTCTTCCCTGGGGCCCCAGGGCCCTCGCTCCTGCCACTGACTCCCTCCACCATCTCCCTGCCGCGGCAGCGTACGCTGCCCTCACCGTGCCCTGCGCCCGCCGTCCCTGAAGGCCACCCTGTGTGGCCACGGCCCCTTGGGCTCCCTCCACGCCCCCTGAGGTCCTCAACTCACCAGCCCCCACCCCAGCTGTGGCCAGTCTCCAGCCCCGAGGGAGGAAGAGCTCCCCAGAGCCCACCTTTGGGGCTCGGCCCCCCGCCCCAGACGCCTGGACCCACAGGCGATCGGGGGCTCCACCACAAGCAGCTAAACATGACTTTGGTAAAAGTTTCTGAAGGTACCGACAAACCCCCGTGAGAAGAAACTCTTCTCCCCCCCAACCCCAGACACCCCACCAAGTACAATAAAATACAATAAACTCCAAAAAGGACCCCCTGAGATCAAAGAGAGACAGAGAGAGAGAGAGAAAGAGAGAGAGAGAAAGAGAGAGGGAGACCAGCCCAGGCCCAGCTGCAGTCGTTAATGCCCAGCCTGCCTTCCTGGGGCGAGGACACCAGCCGACTGACTCGCCATCACCGGAGACCTAAGTGGACTGAGTCCCCCGGGGGGGGGGGGGGGGGGGCACAGAGCCCGAGTGTGGCCAGGAGAGAGGCAGAGGCAGGGAGGGAGATGGGGAAAGCCAGAGAGGTAGACGGGGTGAGAGGGGGAATGGAGGCAGGGAGCATGTTTGCGGAGCGGGGCAGGGGAGGGACGGGCGGCTCTCTCCGGGCCCCTGGGGGCCGCCCCAGCCCAGAGGTTACGACTGAATAAATAGCGAGTCTGCTCGTGGCCTGCTGTCTTCCGTTCACAGTGTCTGTCAGGGGGACGCACACGGCCGGCTGACCCCGGGAGGCCGGCTGACCCCGGGACGGGAAGGGCTGGGGCCTGGCGAGCCCGTCTGTCCACGGCCGCTGGGCAGGGGGTCGGGGGTGGGTCGGTGCCCCCTACTTTCTGTCCTCAGCCTTCGGCAGCTGTCCAGGTCCCAGGTCTCCCCTGGCGGGCAGCTGGGTGGCCAGGTGGGGAAGGGGGGGCCTGTGGCCATGCCCCTGGCCCCGGTGGGGCTGGCCGCCACCACGTGGCTACCTGAAGAAGGGCAGGTGGTGCTGGCTCAGGACTCCGCTCGTCCTAGGTGACTCAGTCTTCGCCATGACATCCTTGAACCAGGAAGCCACGTCTACCTCCAGCATCTCGTAGCGCTTGATGAAGCTGTGTTCCTGCGGGGCCGAGGGGGGCACTTAGAGGAGGAGGGAGGCGCTCCGTGGAGGGGAGGGGGGGAGGGGCCCAGGTACTCACAAGTAGCTTATTATACTTTGGTCTCTTCCTGTGATCCTTAGTAAGGCTGAAGGAAGAGAGAGGAAAGAGAACTAAGAGTCGGGGAAGGAGGGGCCCGGCTGCCCCAGGGACTCAGGTGTCCCAGCTCTGAGACAGGGGTCTTTGGAATCTGTGGGAAGGAGCTGCTGTGTGCTCGTGGCCCTGTGCTGCCTGCTGAAAAGCCAGAGGACCCGGACCTGCCCTTGGGAATCCCACCTGCGACAGAAGCCCAAACTGGACTGCAAGGTGCTCACGGGAGAGGTAAGTGGGGCTCTCCCATGGAACAATCCAATGTGGACATCACGTGGGCACAATCTTGCTCATGGCTGCCAGATGCACGGACCCCGCAGTCCTGCAGGCGCATCTGCTTGTCCACAACCTTCGATGGCAAAGCCCAAGGGCCACCCTGCCAACTGCCCAGGGCCAGCTCAGGCCGGGTCCAAACCCAACTCCTAATTCCCAGCTCAGGCCGGGTCCAAACCCAACTCCTAATTCCCAGGGCTCCGGCTCCTGTCTGCATCCCTGCCCTCAGCACTCGCCTTCCCGTTTGCCTTCCCACCCAAAGCCGCTCCCACTTCCACAGTTATGTGTGTGTCAGGGGGCTGCCCCACTCCCCTCCAGCCCCAAACCCCCTGGCTCTGAGCACTCAGCCACACCTGACCCTGCCCCGCCTCCCAGAGCGCAGGACGGGGGCAGGGGTTCCTCACCAGTCTTTGACGAAGGACTGGAAGTCCCCTGAGAAGCCCATGTGGCCGGGCAAGAGCGGGGGCTCTTCCTGCAGGACTTTGGTGAGGACCTCAAAGTCTGTCTTGCAGTTCTTGTAGGGAAACTGTCCCGTCGCTAGCTCCACCTGAGAGAGATGAACAGGCTGGACGGGCTGAGGACGGCTTCCTCCCTCCCATCTTACTGCCTCCCTCTGCATCCCAACAAGACAGGGCCCCCAGCCCAAAAGGCAGGCGCCCCAACTCACCAAGGAGATGCCCAGGCTCCACACGTCAGCCCGGATATCATAGTCTGGCTTGGTGGGGTCCGGAGGATCTATGCGCTCAGGCTGATGGGGGCAAGAAGAGGAGGATGTACCCCAGGGGCCGGAGCAGGTGTGCCAAGCAGATGCCCTCATGCCCACCCGCCAAGGCACTGAGGGGCTCCCACTCACTGCCATGTAGGCGGCACAGCCGGCACTGCGCGTCTTAGCCTTAGAATCAACAAGACGGCCACTGATGCCGAAGTCACAGAGCTTGATCTGGCCCCGCTCGTCCAGCAGGATGTTCGAGGGCTTGACATCACGGTGGATCACACCATGCTTCTCCTTCAGGTAGTACAGTGCCTTCACGATCTGTAACGAGGACAGCAGGAAGGTATCCGTGACGGGGGGATGGGCCTCAGTGGGGAGGGGGCGCGTTGGCACCCAACCAGCTGCAGGCCTGCCCGGCTGCTTACCGCCACCGTCATCTTGCCCAGGATCCGCTCGGGGATAGGGCCCTGCACCCGCTTCTTGAGCTTCTCAGCGCACGTGCCCATGAGCTCCATGGCAATGAAGACGTCCGTCTGTGGGGATGGCACTGGGTGGCTTGGGTGCAGCCACACCCTTGCGCCCACCCTACACAGACTCCAGCCCCGGGGGGACACCCAGAGGCGGGCAAGGAAGAGAGTCGGGGAGCCCACAGAGCGGCAGGGCCCCATCGGAGGCTGTTCCAATGGATGCGGACTCACGTTAGTGATGAAAGTCCCGAAACACTGCACAATGTAGGGGCAGTCATGGCTCTTGAGCACCACGTCCAGGTCCATCAGGATCCGCTTGTTCTCCTCCTTATTCCCCGAGCGCCGCATTTGCTGCGTGGACAGCCAGGGAAGCCTTAGTGCCGGGGTCTTGGGGCAGGGGGCCCATCTGGGGGCAGGGGCAGCCCTCACCTTGACAGCGATGACGTGGCCCGTCTTCCTGAAGCGCATCTTCCACACCTGACCGCAAGTGCCGCTGCCCATCTCCCCCAGGTTCTCCAGGTCGTTGATTTCTGCCTGGTAGCGCTGGCAAGGACAGCCAGAGCTGGAGGATGTGCCAGCCTCTGCACCGCGCCCCCACCCCAAGACCGAGCCCCGCCTGGGTGGTACCTGGCCTCCGATGGTCAGGTAGCCGGTCTGCTTCATGATCTCCTGCAGCTTCTGGTCAATCTCGATGCTGGGGGGACAGGGAGGAAATCCCGGTGGAGGAAGATCCCAACCAAACTGAGGCCACCCCAGTCCCCAACACACAGGGGTTTCTGCACATTTAACCACCCTCCTCCCCAGGGCAGGCAAAGTGGCCCTCCCCACCCTGACTTCCTGGCCTCATTCCAACAGCTCACCTCTCCATGCTGCGGGGGGTGAACAAGGTTGACGGAAGCCCCAGCATGTGGCGGGGCCGGGCAGGGGGTGTGGGGTGCTGTGGCGAGCTCTCGGAGGACGGTGAGCGGCTGCCGCCATCATTGGCCAGCGGGAGCTGCAGGGCTGGGGAGGGGGGTGAGAACCACGGGTGAGACGGGGTTAGCCAGCAGCTGACACTCCGGGGCCTCGGGACTCTGGTCTTCCCCTCCCTGGCATCAGGTAGGCCAGCCCAGAACCCCCACCCCCACCCCACTGGGCTGGAGGAGCTAGGGTCTCCCTGGCTGCTCTCAGGGTCCTTCTCTCACCCCAACCTGGAAATAGATGGAGTGGGCTGGCAGGGAGGGGTGGTCCCCAGAAGCTGAGGGATGGTCCCCAAGTCTATGCTGACACAGGATCATGGCCCAGAGACTGACGCATCCTTCAGCCAGGCAGCCTTCCTGATGTGTCCCCTTCCTCCCCGCCTCTGCCCGGGAAGCAGGCCCAGGGCCACAGCGCCCACACTCAGGACCATGCGAGGAGGGAATGCCCGCCAGGATCAGCCTGGGTTCTGGTCCTGCTGGCAGCACTGTACATGGCTGCCCAGTAAGAATCAAGTAGACCACCCAGGGGGCAATGGGCGAGGGCCCCACGCTTCCGGCTGCCTTGCCCCACATTCTGTTCCAGGGTCAGGGAGGGCCACACTCTAGCCAGCAGGCTCATCTCTGAGCCTCCCGGTTTGGCCTGCAAAGCTGGGGCCAATGGGTGGGGGGACAGGACACCAGGCTGGGCCTGTGTCCTTTGGGTGAGGGGATCCAGGTGGCACAGCCCCTCCAAGGGCTGGTGGGATGGAGGGTGGGGAGCGGGACAGGCAGTGGGGTCTTCTCAGCAGCCTGCATGCGGACAGCTTGGGCATGCTACAGGCAGGCAGGCAGGCAGCGGGCAGGCAGCGGACACCCCAGGATGGGCAGGCGGCATTCGGGGATCGGGAGGGCAGGAGACAGACAGACAGATGGGAGCCAGGACTTGGGGCCCAGCTACCCAGAGGAGGCACTGCAGAGACAGGCCAGACAGGGGCCCGGGACAGGACAGCAGGTTCCCTGAAGGGCTAGGATCCTCCCTGGCTGGGCTGGCAACAAGGTGGGGGACCAGAGCCCCATGTGCCCCTGGAGAAGACAGATGATCCCCCACTGAATCCTCGTACCCCAGGCCCTGGTGCTCTGGAATGGGATCCCTAGCTGGGTAGGGCACTGGCTGAAAGAGCTCTCTAAGTGGGGCCAGAAGAGGACCTTTCCGTGGAGAATGGCCAGGAGGCCTGGGGCCTGCAACTCTCCCACAACCCTCAACTGACACCCTCTCCTCTGCCTATACCTCCTGCCGCGGTCCACCCCTTCCTCCCACAGTTCTGCAAGCACCTGGTGATATGGGCCCAAAGGACAGAGACAAATATGCTTGAATTGCTGGTATTGGGGCACTTTCTCTGCCTTGTTACCCTGGGACCCTGGCCACATCTAGAGCGAGGGAGCAGCTACGTGATCCTAGCCTGCAGTCGTAGGAGGGATACAAGTCTTCTCATGCCTGGTCAGAGCAAAATAAGAGCTCTGGGGACCCCAGGGAGATGGCCAGGCCTAGCACCCTGCCCTGGCCTGCAGGCCTCACCTCCTGTGCTCCCCCTCTCCTGCTCTAGTCCTTCTCTGTGTTACGTCCTTGCTTCACTACTCTGTGAGGGCCAGAGTCAGAGTCCTAACCCCTCCCTCTCTGGCTCAACAACCTCAGGGGCATCTGAAGGCCCCCATGCTCCCCTGTACCTGGACTCTCTGGGGACACTGCCCGGCTCTCACTCCCTGGGGGGTGTCTGGGCCTCTTTTCTGCCCCACATGGTCAGGTCCTCTCTGGGATGAGGACCACACCCCTACCCTCTCCACACTTCCTGAGGCGGGAAGGGAGATGCTTCCATTGGTCCTACAAACTGAAACACGGTAGGGACTTGAGGGTGACCAGTGAAGGGTGGCTAAGGTGGGGGGAGGGTAAGTACACAAAGGCCCTGAGAACAGAGGTTACAGAGGTGGTGACAGGCCACACGGCAGGTCAGGAGGGCACAGTGAGAGCAAGAGGCTGAACAAGAGAGAAAAAGAGAGAGAGAACAAGAGCGCATGGAAACACATGGCCAAAAGGAGCCACAGATGTACCAGGCTGTCAGTCCAACACGCATGTACGCGCACACACACAGCGCATGGCACAAACCCCCACACGTGTACAGACAACATGCCGAGAGCCCTGAACAGGGCCAGCCTCACACTGTCTTACACACACACACACACACACAAACACACACAACCTGCCCAATTTAGCTCCCCCTACACAAGGGCCAACTGGACCAGACCTCACCCAGGTGTCTGTCTCTCTTGCTCTCACACTCTCTCTCTCACATACACCCATGCACACCCTCCCCATCTGCTCCAGACCCGCAAGCAACTGCGCTCAGGCCTCAGGCCTCTGCGGGCTGCTTCCTCTACCTTCATTCACATCTCCCCACCTCCCCCGAGCCTGTGCTGTAATCCCAGCTGCTCCAGAGGCTTCCCCAACTGACCACCCCTTGCAGAACCCCAAGCTGGCTCTACTTTGCCTTTTCTACAAGGCAGCACTGCTTTGTCCACTTCTCCCAGACCAGGAGAATGCTGTCAGTGAGCGTCAGCCACACAATGAGGGGCCCTTGGTCCGTTCTGTTCACTGCTGTGTCCCTAGAGCAGGGCAGTACATGTTGGCTGTACGGTTGAAACAAATCAACAGGCACAGCCCGATGGCCTAGTCCAACTTTCCCTCTCTCTCTCTCATACACTCACTCACACATGCGACCTCTCACAGGCGGCAGACTCCTGGTCAGTAAAGGAGCCCACTTCCTCTTCCAGGGAGTCCAAACCTGAGCCCGCCAGGAAGGGAGGAGTGGAAGGTGAGCGGACACAGAAGAGGCCAAGTGGGCCAAACACTGTTGATCACTGATTGTGTGGAAGGAGAAAAGAGTGACAGGCGCACACACGCACACACAGCATGGGGGGTGGGGGGGAGGGCATTCTGCGGCGGGGCAGCGGTTAGGTCAATGGTGCAGATGTCCAAGCGACGATGATAAAAAGGCTGGTACCTGCTCGTTGGGACGGGGCAGGAGCAGGGCTTAGAGTGATCACAATAACTGGATGGGGAAAAGGAAGAAAAAAAACAACACCACGATAAATCACAACAGAAACAACTGATTTGTCCAAAAGAAAAGAAATCAAATCATAACGAGGAAGAGGGGGAGGCGCGAGGCACCAAACTGCAGAGACGGGTAGAAACCGACAGAAATGGGAGGACCGGGAGGATGGGATGGAGCTGACACAGACACAGACACCTGAAGGGGGCTCCTCAGGGGCCTGCCCGCCGTGGGCCTCACCATACCTCACTCTGGGACAGCCACCCTGTAAGGCACCCCTGGCCCCAGACCCAGGCCTGTCTCATCCATGCTGGGGGCAGGGGAGGCAGCACTGCAGAGCCCGGCAGGGACCCTCCAGTCCTGGGAGGCCTTTCTGCCCCAGGGAGGAACCCACACCACCCCAAATCAGAAGAGAGAGAGATGGGGAGTGGAGCGCACCCAGGGACTGGGGGCAGTCAGGCCGTGAAGATCAGGCTGGGTGAGCGGGGAGTGACTGCAATACTCTGACATGGGGGTGTGTTCCCCCTCCTACCAGGATGACCCCACAGGGAGCTACATAAGCTACAGGGATCATATCAGAAGTACAAAGGAGGGCAATTTGCCAGCTCAAGAGAGAGACACAAAGTGTGTGATGAGGTGCTACTCATCAGGTCTGTGGGGAGGGTGAAGACCCGATGCCCTCCAGCTGAGAGATTTGGGGAGGGGGGGTTCAGCGGGACATAACAAAGAAACTAGACAGTGGTCCAGTGGTCGTGGCAATCCCAGGTCAGGTGTGATTGTTGGGTGGGGGAGGGCAGGAGGAGGCAGCTTTTGATTCCAGGCGACAAGATGCAGGGAGATACACAGAGATAGTGGGATCAGATACGAGGTGTGTGTGGGCTGGGAGGTCTAGATATCACCACCTTGGCTTCAGGTATCCCTAGGCCAGGTGAGTGTGGGCGTGCAGGAAAAAGGAAGTCACTCGAGTCCAGTGGGCGAAAGTTGCCAAGCTGAGAGTTCGGTGTGTATTTTTTGAGAAGCTAAACAGTCACCAAGATGGTGGCAGTGAAACGGGTCAGAGAAGTATGAGGGGGCCTGGTGTATGTGGGTAGGGTGTGCGTGGGAGGGGGCCCCCCAGGCCCAATTACAAGGTCCCAGCCCCGGGGGAAAAAGGGATTACCAGACACAGTCACAGGAAAGGGGGTCAGAGGAATAGGGAGTTACAGTGATCAAATGACCTCAGGTGTCACCTGGGCCAAGTGTGCTTGTGTGTGAGTGTGAGCGCATCCCCCCACTAAACCATATGACAGGGACCCAGGTGCCGAAGGGGAAAGGGGCCTCCTGCCAGTCACTGAGATGGCAGGAGTGAAGTCGTCCGGTCGGAAGAGACGTGTCCGTGTTTGCGACGAACCTGGATGTGGTCACAGTCGCATGCATTGGAGGGAGCGCGGCTCCGGCTCTGGGTAGGTGACGGTGACATAGGCTCTGAGGATCCCGGGGAGGGAGCGGGCCGTCAGGTGGGGGGCCTTGCCGGGTAACTAGGCCCGTAGGCCCCGTGAGGGGGAACCCCTACGTTGGGGGCAGAGCCGCCCGGGAGCCCGCGGTCCCACGCCCCCCGGGTCACCGTGACCCTCTCCCCGCGAGCCGACAGCAGGGGGTATGGGGTGGAGAGGAGGAGGAGCCAGAGCGCCCCGGAAGCGGGGGCGGGGCCTGGCGGCGGGGGCGGGGCTTCCCGCGGCGCGCGCCCCGCCCCGCCCGCCCCCTCCCCCACGCTGCCGTGCTTACTGGGCCTGGGCCGCTGGGGGCTGATATCCAGGTTGAGGTCGATCCTCCGCCGGGCCTCGCGGTTCTCCTGCTTCAGCTTTGCTTCCAGGCGGGACAGCTTCTGCTCCAGGGAGGACGCCGCCATCTTCCCCGCCGCCGCCGCGCACCGCCCGGCCGCCCGTCAGTCCGGCAGACAAACACCGCACTGCGCTTGCGCCTGGATGACCCCGCCGAGCCGCCGTCTCTCCCCGCACGGCGCATGCCCGCGGCGCGCACTCGCCCATCCCTCGTGCTAACCTCCGCGCATGCGTGCCTCTTCCCAGCTGGAGGGATGACGCCACCTAGAGCTCGCGTCTGGCAACGTGCAACGCCGCTCCTGGTGGTGCGCATGCGCGGACTGCGTGTGGCAATCCATTCACACTGTTGGGCCGAGAGCGGCGGGCGGGGAGAGCGGCGCGCCTGCGTGCAGAGGGGCAGACGCGATCCCGCGCGCGGCCTTTACTGCGCCTGCGCAACCTTGGCTCGTTTCTCTGCCCCTGTTGCTGGGAGTTGCTCTTGCAGCGTGTCCTCCCCAGCTTCGTTCTCGCTCTTCCCCTCCCGGCCTGTTTTCTGGCACCCACGCTCTCCCAGCACTGCCTTTCTCGTCTGGGACAGTGCTTCATTAGGATCCCTGTTAGGCTTAATTGCTGTCTCTTCACCATAATTAGGCGCCCGTGGGGAGCCCTTTCTATTTCAGCAAACTCGGGCTTGGCCAAGGGCTGGCGGGAGGGGCGGGGTAGGGCTGGGGTCACTGGAGGGGCCCCAGGACCAGGGGCATGACCCCTGATCTCTGGACAGGGTGAGGGTCAGGGCCCTCAAATGGGGTATTTCAGGACTTTGATCTTCCCAACCCCGGAATGTGAGCCCAGCTCCTGGGCAGTGCAGAAGATGGGCCTGGATGTTAGGGCGCCTCAGCCTGGCCTCCCCGCGGCTCAACTGGTCTGTGGGCGCCCGGGAAAATGCCCCCATCCTGGATTTCGGAAAGCAGCTTGCGTCTGCTCTCAGTTGCCAGGAAGAGGCTCGCATTTTTCAGACTCCTTGAGGTGTCCAGGCCCCGGAGGTCAAGGTCATGCAGGCTGTGCCCTATGCCCTTCCTGCTCCTGCTCCAGCACAGGAACACTGGCGGGCGCCGAAGGCTTATGGGGACTCCCGTGGTGACAATTTGCGAGTGGAACAGATGCGAGAGTGTGGAGTCCGGAGAATAATAAGGAATGGAGAGGAAAGAGAGTTCTCCAAAAAATAGCTACGCAGATGATGCCTGATAAGCCGAGGTCTCTCCTGCCTCTGCTTCCAGGACAGAAACTCATACCCTTGATTCCGCCATGTGAGTGTCATTGCTTGCCTGTTATTGGTCTGGCGAAATGGAAGGCTTAGACAAACAGGAGTGGATACCTGAGATCGGAAGTTTAGTTCTCATAATACATATTATTTATTAAGCACCCACTGATAGATGCTCTCTCACACAGGAAACACTGGAAAGACAAAGTCCCTGCCTCTGCTCAGAAAAATTTAACCTCCTCGGCAGGCATTCTTAACACTGGAGTGTGCCATCCTTAGGATGTCCGTGAATGGCCCTCTGGGAAATCTGGGGGAATTTGCTGACTGCCTAAAGTTGCTTGCGGAACTTTGCATGTATGTGTACCTGAACATTTTCCTGGGAAAAGAAACACCCAGCTTTTCTCAGATGTTCAAAGGGTGTAGGACTTAGAAAGGGTTCAGAACCCCTGCTCTGGACTTGCAGATTCTGTAGGTCCGCAATTCCCAACACACAGGTCTAGGACCACCTGCATCAGAATTACCTGGGATGCGTATTTGCAGGCAGGTTCCTGGCCTCCAGCCAGACCTGAGTCAGTCTTTCAGGGGTGGGGCCCAGGATGTTTTGTTTTGGGGATGTTGATTTTGATGCATAGCCAAACACGAGAACCATTTTTCTGATTTTGCGTGTCCGTAGCAAACAACTTATAAATAAGGATTTGGCATCAAAGTTGGGGGTGAGGATCACTCACTAGTCCCTTGTGTCTGTGTCCCCTCCTTGGGAGAGAACCCCAGCTATAAGGTGTTTTGAGGGGCGGGGGAAAGGGCTGAAATCCCATTGGGATGTGCCCCACCCCCATATGTGGCACTAACTAGGCCAGAATGTCCGGGGTGTGGGCAGGACAGCCAGCCAAAGACGCAGGTGTGGTTTGGGTCTGAGAATCCTGACTGAGTTAATCCCTCTACGATGTTCCACCCCAAATCCACAGCCTCTCATCTCTTCTCAGACAAACCAGTCCCAGGATCTTGCCTGGAACCCATGGTGGCTGATGCGTCTGCTCCTCCTCTCCTGGCCTGGGCCCTCTTGGCCACATCTTTTGAAGACAGTAGTAGATATTCTTCAGTGGAAGCATCCAGAAGGCCTCTACCCAGCCTTCCCCACCTTTGCTTCATTCCTCCTCCAGTTTTTCCCGCACCTCTGCCGGCAGGCCCTCGTAAAGGGTGTCTTCTACGAGGAGCCCCACTTTCTTGAGCCCCACACAGTTGCCAAGCTCTTCTGGTAGTGCCTCCAAGCGGTTGCCCTTGAGCTCAAGGCGGCTGAGGGCTCTGAGGGCCCCCACCTGGGACGAGAGCTGGCTCAGGTGGTTGTAGCCCAGAAGCAACGTCCGCAGCTTCCGGCAGAAGAAGAGCTCGTCAGGCAGGGCCTCCAGGGCATTGTAGGACAAAGCCAGGTGCTGCAGGTTCTGGAGGAGGCCCAGCTCGGGCGGCAGGGAGCGTAGCCCATTGTGGGAGATGTCCAGCAGGCGGAGGCCGGAGCACATGCCGAGCTGGGTGGGCAGGGTCTCCAGCTTGTTGTGGCTGAGGTAGAGCTGCTCCAGGCCCCGGAGCTTGCGCACGTGCTCAGGGACGTAGGCGATCTGGTTGTGCCACAGCTTGAGCGTGACCAGCTTGCGACAGTGCTGGAAGCTGAGGATCTCTTCAATGGACCGCAGGTGGTTGTCCCTGAGGTCAAGTTCCTGCAGCGCGCCCAGGCTGAAGATGGCATGGGGGATGCGCTCCAGCCCGCAGGCCACCAGCTCCAGCTCCCTCAGCGCTGCCAGCTTCTTGAGGCTGTTCAGGGCCAGCAGGCGGGCCCCGTCATTGTGCAGACTAAGCCGCTGCAGGTGCCCGGCCACGTCAGTCACACTGGCCGGCACCTTGCTGGCATTGCTCCGCAGAGACAGCGCCTTGAGCTGCTTCAGCTCCCGGAGGCTCTCTAGGGCCGCTGCCCGAGCCAGCTCCGGGGGGAAGAGCCCCTCGAGGTGCAGTTCCTCCAGGCCACGCAGCCCAAACACCCACAGGGGCACGTCGCGGAGCTCCTCGCACTTGACGCAGATGACCTTCAGGCGGTCCCGCAGGAAGATCTGCAGCGAGAAGGGCAGCCTGGCGGGCGAGTGGAGCAGGCTGAGCTCCTGCAGGTGCACCAGCTGCGAGAGGCCCGGGGGGAAGGTGATATCACAGATGGCCTCCAGCCGGAGGGCTTCCACCTCGCTGAGCTCGAAGACGGTGTCCGGCAGCCCCGGGAGCATGCAGAGGGCCAGCTCGAGCCGGCCCCGGGCGTTGCGCTGCAGCTTCTGCCGCAGCTTCTCAGGCGTCCACTCGTGGTTCAGGTTGAGCTGCTTCAGGCGGCTCTCGCTGACTTCGGAGAGGAAGACAGCGAAGCGCTTGGAGTAGAGGGAGTCGTACTGGTCGATGAGATGTAGCATGAAAGCAAAGTCATTCTTGACATCGGGTATGTCACCCATGCCGGTCTCCTCCCGCACAGAACGGAAGGAGTACTCCTTGAGGGGCCGATGGAAGAGCCAGTAGAGCGTGTAGAGACAGGTTAGCCCATAGACGCACACGAAGGAGATGTAGCAGAAAGCCAGCTTGGAGAAGAGGTGGGCCTTGGTGTGGTTGCAGCAGAAGCTGGCGTAGCCCGTGACCTCCGACGTCTCTACCCTGCAGGCCACCAGGAAACTGATCTTCTCCACGTAGACAAGGTTGTAGACCAGGATGGCAAAGAACTTGCAGACTTTGAGCACCGTTTGCCGGATGTACATGGTATATAAGATGTCCCCCTCCTCCACATGCACACGGAACTTCTTGACCTTCTCAAACAGGGCTTTGGCCTGTTCACCCTCCTTCTTATCCAACAGGGTGACGGCCGGTGGCTCCGTCACCACCTTCTCAGGCTCCACCAGCACCTTTTCCTTCTCACCCTCATTAGGTTTTCCTGGTCCCGCGGAGGCCTCCACAGTGGCCATCACCCGTCCAGCGGCGGGGCCCTTATGGTTCTCCCCAGAGACCTCAGACAGGGCCCGTGTGGTCCATGGCGAGTCGAAACATTTGCCCAGGATGGAGATGAAGTGCTCGATCTTGGAGCTGGTGCCAGGGAACTTGAACCAGAAGCTGGTGCAGACCATGAAGATGAGCGTGTGAATGACGACCAGGTAGGGGAAGTACTTGGCGTACCAGTGGAGGGCTGTCTCGTAGCAGAGCTGGTTAATGAAGCTGTACTGCTGCAGGTCCAGGTTGTTCTTGAGGCCGCTTACCTCCCGAAGGCCTGCCATCTGCTCGGAGACCCCCCGTGGCAGCAGTTGCTGGCATGGGGCCTCTGATAAATTCTCCCGGGGTTCGTGACTGGGCAGACAGATGATCTTGTCCTGTGTCACCTGGGAGTTGGGGGGGGGGGGGGTGGAAAGAAGGTCAAGGAGCTAAGTCAGCTTGCATAGTGGGGGCGAGAGAGGCAGGCTGAAGGCAGGAGGCCCCCCGTCCCTGATGGTCCCTAGCTGGCCATGGTTTTGGAAGAATCGCTAAACCTCTGAGTGTCAGTCTTTGAAAAAAGGAGTTGAATTGAATTGTTTTCTCCCGCTCGTGCCCCCCCACCCGCCGGCTCCCGCGAAAGATACTGAAGTCCTGATCCTTAATACTTGTGAATAGATAGTCTTTGCAGAGCAGATGCGACCAAGGTAAGGTGAGGCTGGGGCGCCTGGGTGGCTCAGCGGTTGAGCGTCTGCCTTTGGCTCAGGGCGTGATTCCGGGGTCCTGGGATCAAGTCCCACATCGGGCTCTGTCTGGGGAGCCTGCTTCTCCCTTTGCCTGTGTCTGCCTCTCTCTGTGTGTGTCTCATGAATAAATAAATAAAATTAAAAAAAAAAAAAAAGTAAGGTGAGGG